AGTTATCTGCTGAGTGTGGTGGTGCACACCTTTACTCCCAGCACTCAGGAGGCAATGGCAGGAGGGTTGCTGTGCATTCTAGGCCAGCCTGGTCTGCATAGTGAATTCTGGATTAGCCAGAGGCACACAGTTAGACCCTGTTTGAAAAACAAAACAAGAATCTCACTATTTTCCCATTCCCCAGTCGTTACAGATGGAGGCTAAACGTTGGTCCCTAGAGCCCATCCCTGCCTGAGTTCAAGGCTTTTATCTCCAGCTCCTCCTAGTTGTGTGACCTCGGCCAATTTGCTTAACTGCCCTGTGTCTCGGTTCTTTGATTTGTGAGTAGGAGAAATAAGTTTCTACTTTGCTATACCATCCCCCAAATTGTTCAAAAACCCACAAAACTCTCCCCTGCTCAGGACTGCCGCTTCCCACCTGGGGTAGTGACGGAGACCTGGATCCCTTTGTCAGTCAATCCACTGTCCCCAAGGGCATTGCTGGCCAACAGCCAGATCCTGTACCGCGTAGAAGGCTTCAGTCCAGTCAGCGTGAAGGTGGTGGCCTGGGGTGGCAGGACATCCATGTAGAGGAATCCTGGAGTCTCGAGGGCCTCATACCTGTGTGGGAGAACCGTCAGGTCAGCCACATGTCTCTCTCCACTGTCTGGCCCGCGTCTCCTGCCTCGGTGGAGGCCCCACCTGATCTGGAACCGCTGAGGCAGACCCCCATCAAAGCCAGGCTTCCACTCCAAACCTACTGAGTGAGGGGTTGTGCTCACCACTTTCAGTCCCCAAGGAGGGTCAGGGCGGCCTGGGAGAGAAAGGGGGGATTGTTAGGGGATACGAAAGGAGTCTAGAAGCTTCCTTCCAGAGTCTCACAACCACCTGTAACTCTACAGGTACCTGGCTCACAAGTAGTTCACAGATAAACATGTACATACAACACTCTGGGAGGAAAGCATTTCTAGCTGGGTTGGTGGCAGTTGGTTCACATAGAATTAAAATAAATAGAGCTGTTTTTAAAAATTCACCTTGAACACTGAACTCAAAAAACCTCAAGTTTTGCTTCCAGCGAAGTGCACAAGGAGGGCAATCCTCCCCACCACATTTTCTTCCCTCCTTGTTTGTTTGCTTGTTTGTTTGAGACAGGGTCTCCCCTTTGTAGCCCTGGCTGACCTGGAACTCACAGAGATCCACCTGCCTTTGTCTCCCCAGTGCTGGGATTAAAGGTGTGCAACACCACACCCAGCTTCAAACAATTTTTATTATATTCTATGTATTTATTTGTGTGTGTGTGTGTGCGCGTCTCTCTCTCTCTTTCTCTCTCTCTCTCTCTCTCTCTCTCTCTCTCTCTCTCTGTGTGTGTGTGTGTGTGTGTGTGTGTGTGTGTGTGTGTGTTGTGGAGATCAGAGGACTATTCGTGGGAGTCAGTTTTCTTCTGTCACCATGAGGGCTCCAGGGGTGGAACTTGGGTCACCAGCCTTGATAATAAAAAGCTTTTCCTACTGAGTCATCTCACTGGCCCAGGTGATTTTTAAAACTTTTCAATTTATTTGTGTACTTTTTATGTGAGTGTTCTGTTAGCATGTACAGCTGCAGGTCAGAAAAGAGCAGCAGATCCCATTGTAGGTGACTGTGAGCCACCACGTAGGTGCTGGGATGTGAGCTCAGGTCCTCTGGAAGAGCAGTCAATGTTCTTACCCGCTGAGCCATCTCACCAGCTCCCCAACTGTTTTTTTTATTCTATCTATCTATCTATCTATCTATCTATCTATCCATCCATCCATGTATGTATGTATGTATGTATGTATGTATGTAGTATGTATGTATGTATGTATGTATGTATGTATCTATCTATCTATCTATCTATCTATCTATCTATCATCTGTCTGTCTATCCATCCATCCATCCATCCATCCATCTATGTATCTATCTATCTGACTGTCTGTCTGTCTATCTCTCTATCCATCCATCCATGTATGTATGTATGTATGTATGTATCTATCTATCTATCTATCTATAGACAGGGGTCTCCGTAGGTAGCCTAGGTTAGCCTGGAACATTTTGATCCTCTGGCCTTAGCTTCTCAGCTTCTGGGATTACAGGTGTGTATACTTATACTGGTTCCACTCATAAATTTTAATTTTATTTATGTATGTTTCTGTTTTTTAAACAAGCCATCTTATTTCGTATATATTGCTGATTCACTCCCACTGAAGATGTGGCCAACTGGAGGCGAACGTGTGGCTCTGTTGGCAGGGTGTTTTTTTAACATCCGCATATGTTGCCGAAGGCCGATCTCGGGGTTTGATCCCCAGCCCTTCATAAGCCCAGCATGGTGGCGCCCACCTGCAATTCTATTACCCAGAGGTGGAGGCAGGAGGACCAGGAATGCAAAGAAGATCTCAGGCACACAGCCAGTGAGGCCAACATCACTCTCACTTACTCTTCAGCAAAGGTTAGTCAACGCAAATTAATTCCTCCTTGAGGTATGTATAAGTTTCTCTCCTCTTCTTTCCCTTTAAAGGTTTGCTACTTATTTTTACTTTATGTGCATGGGTGCTTTGCCTGCGTGTATGTCTGTGCAGCACATGCCATGCAGTTCCTGTAGAGACCTGAAGAGGGCGTTAGATCCCCTGGAACTAGAGTTACAGATGCTGTGAGCCACCCTGTGGATGCTGGAAATTGAATCTTACATCCTGCACCCCCTACCCCGGCCCACAGTAAAACAAACAAGCTACACCTGGTGACTCTCAACTGTAATCCCAGCCCTTTGGAAGTTAAATCAGAAGAATTGCCATTTGAGGCAGGGTTGGCTACATGGCAAACCTGAGGTTATCCTGGGCTACCTGGGTTAACTTGGGTCTGAAGTTAACCTGAGTTATACAGCAAGACCTTGTTTCAACAAAGCAAAACTCCATTCTCACGCATGAACACCTTTCAGAGATCAGAAACACTTCCTGGCTCTGCTCAACCACGAATTTGCAAAGCGCAGTCCCCAGTATCCCCCCAGTCGCTCCCATCGTACTGATGCTGACGAGCTGGATGTTGGTGTGGTCCGAACCGAGGTCGTTGGTGGCCGTGCAAGTGAAGAGGGCATAGTCCTGGGCTGCGGACACGTTAGCAATGGTCAGGAGGCTGCTGTGGACAACACCCTGGTGGTACCTGTGCTCTGTGTACCTGAAGAGAGGGCCGCAGTTGGACTCAGAAAGGAAAACCAGGGCTGGATGACCAGAGCCCGGGCACGACCTGGCTATCCCCAGGCTCACCTGGGATCTTGGAGATCCAGAGGGACCCCATTTTTGGCCCAAGTGAAGTCGATGTTGGGGACACCTCGGGCCCGGCAGTGGAGGGTCGCTGAGCTGGTGCTGTCCCCAGCTGCAGCCACTTTCGTCAGGGGTGTTGGATGATCCACCTGGGGGGCAACTAGGACAATGGAAGGATCAATGTGGGGACTGTGGAGGGTGGGAGTGGCGGGCCAGGGGCAGACCTTGAAGTTACCCACATCTGACAACAAGACGGACCAGCCCTCTTGCCGCCGGTGCCACCCCATTGTCCACAATGCACTGGTAAGCACCAGCCTGTGACAGTCTGGCCTGATGAATCCGCAGACGCCCAGTGGATCCCTTTGACACCATCTCCATATCATCCAGGCTCAGATCTTCCTCATCTTCCCCCTAGTAGCCAAAGATACAGGAGCTTGTTCCCAGTCTGTCCTCAGAAACTGTATCCCATCTGTAGCTTCATTCTCCCTGCTACAATCTCCTTCCGCAATGTCAATGAGGTGATGATGTTTCTTGTCATCCACACAACCACTAATCTAGTCCATCCATTCATCCATCATTTCAGCCAATCATCCATCCGTACATTTGTCTAAACACTCTTCATACTTGGAACCAACTGTAGACTCAGGGTTGTGGTTTAGTGGGGAAGCATTTGCTTGGCAATACTCAAAGCACTGGGTTCAGTCTCAAGCAGTAAAAAATAAATCGACTGGGCTGCATGTGGTGGTTTACTCGCTCTTGGGAGGAAGAGGCAAGAGAATCCCAAGTTCAGAGCTAAGTTGGGCTACATAACAAGTTCTAGGACAGCCTAGACTACATATCAAGACCCTCTCTCAAATATATATGTCTTAGAATCGTAGCACGAGCTTGTTGTCCTAGCTCCGAAGGTTGGAGGCAGGAAGGTCAGGAGTAATTCAAGCCTCAGCCACATAGCAAGCTTGAGGCCAACATGGGTTCCACCACCAGTGGTTCCCAATCTGGGGGTCAAATGATCGTTTTACAGGGGCCGCACACCATCCTGCATATCAGATATTTACATTCAGATTCATAACAGCAGCAAAATTACAGTGTGAAGTAGCAACAACGTAATGTTATGACTGGGGGGGGGGTCACCACAGCATGAGGAGCTGTATTAAAGTGTCGCGGCATTAGGAAGCTAAGAACCACTGCATGTAACCCCATCTCAAAAACAATGAGTCTTCGAGATGGCTCAGGGGGTAAAGACACCTGCGGCTGAGCCTAACAATGTAAATTCGCTTCCTACGAGCCTATTGGTAGGAGACCACTGATTTTCACACATGTCTCTGGCCTTCACACGCATACCGTGACAAATATTCAATGTGTACACATACACAATACAAAAATTTAAAACAGCAACTGCAAAACAATCAAACCACAGAACAGAAAACAGAATCTGCCTGCCCATTCATATATTTTTCCATCCACTCACCCACGGGTTCCACAAACCATTTGTTCTCTTCCTTTATAATTTTAAACCTTCTTCTTTTTTTTCTGAGACAGGGTTTCTCTGTAGCTTTAGAGCCTATCCTGGAATTCGCTCTGTAGATCAGGCTGGCCTTGAACTCAGAGCATCCATTTCTGCCTCCCGAGTGCTGGGATTAAAGGCATGTGACACCAATGCACAATGCCCAGGATAATTTTTTATTTCAAGACAGGGTTTCTCTGTGTAGCTTTGGAACCTGTCCTGGAACTCACGCTGTAGACCAGGCTGGCCTCGAACTCACAGAGATCCGTCTGCCTCTCCCTCCTGAGTGCTGGGATTAAAGGCGTGCGCCACCACTGCCCGGTGTAAACTTTCTTTATTATTCATTGTGGGTATGTATGCATGATGCATGTGTATGAGCGCAGGCACACACATACAACAGCATGCAAATGAGTTGCTGTTGAGAGTCATTTTGCTCCGTTTACCATGGGCTCTGGGAGTTGAACTCCCGCTATTATGCTTGCACTGCCCCACCTCACCTGCCCAGGTGAAGCTATCCACCCTGCAACTCTCTGCGCGTGTGCACATTCATAAGTATGTGCGCCTGCTTACTTATATATACCCGCCTCCCCATTGATATCAATGCAGTCAGCTTCTTCCTGACTTCCCCTGGGGACTCGCTTCCTGTCTAATCCAGTCTCAGTCAAGCATGGAGCCACCCATCATCACCCACCCACTTTTTGTTCATCTGTGCACACAGACACACACATGCCATTCTCTCATTCACCTGACATTCACCAAAAACAGTTCTTTAAAGATACCCTGACCACCATAGTCACATGAACGGCTTCCCACATGTGGCATCCACTCCTAAGGCGCTCATAGCCAAGAGACTACACCGTCCTAGCTCCATGTCCACTCTTTGGCGAGGTACTTACCAGTCTCTCCCAGCTGAACATCTTTGGGAGGACGGGGTTGGCATCCACAGTACAGACTATGTCCACAGAACCCCCGACATTCACCTCGGTCGGGTCCCGGAGGGCACGGATGGTGGGAGCATCTAGTGGGAGACAGGGACTTGGAGAAGGCACTTAGGCCCTGGCAGGTCCTGCTGAGGTGGGGGGAGGCCTCCAGGAGGATGGTGTCTTAGAGGTGTCTGGAATGGTACGGAGGGGTACTGTTTGCCCTTTATGGAGGGGAATTCTCAGAGTGATGAGGGTATTCTCACCCTCGTTGTGCCTTTGTGGTTATTAGAGTCTGATGTGTGTGTGTGTGTGTGTGTGTGTGTGTGTGTGTGTGTGTGTGTGTGCACGCGCGCATGCGCTGGGGGTGATGGTGTACCAGAACAGTGTTGGGGTGGGGTTCGAGAGAACTTGGATTCCTGGATGGAGGAACTCCCAAGTAAGTAGACCCCTCTCTCTATGCAAGTTCCATTTTTGGTCTCCCTAGCCCGCAGAGCAACAACTTTCCAAAGGGGAGGACTCTAGGGTGGGTAGTTATCCCCGGTTGGGTGGGCCTTTCACAAGAAGGAGACTCCAGGATGGGCAAGGTCCCTTGAGTGGGCGTGATTTCCACGGCTCCTAGAAACCCTCGGTTCCCAGGTTTCTGCGGGGGCTCACAATGCACGTCCAGCTTCAACAGTGCCTCGGCAGTGCCCTCAGAATTCTGGCAGTGTAGCTGATAGACGCCACCGTCAGCTCGGGTCACATTCCACAGCTGTAGAGCTCCGCTGGACAGGATGCGATGCCGGGGGCCGCCAGCTGGGGAAGGTCAGCGTAAGGAGTGGAGTGTGGAAGGCCCGCCCATCCTCCCGAGTCCGCACCCTTCTCCAGGCCCACACCCTACCTGGGCTGAGGCGGTAGCCTCGGAAGGTCCAGTTGAAGGCCTCCGGGGCCGGGTTAGCAGACACCGACACAGGCAGCAGCGCCTGGCCCTGCTCCTCCACGGTCACTACCAGCACTTGCTCCCCCAGGAACTCTGGAGGGTCTTCAGAGGGGACGCCCCAGGAAGACAAGAGTGTTGGTAAAAGGTTAAAGATAGGGTCGTGGCTAGGACTAAGGTAGCGGACAGGGTAACTGTTAGAGCTGAGATATGAGACAAAGCTCTGGATAGAAGACAAAACCTGGTGAGCCGGCTCAGCGGGGACAGACAGAGCTTACTGACAAACTTGAGGACCTGAGTTCAATACCCGGGAACCCCACGGTGGGAGGTGAGAACCAGCTAGCTTCCTTAACTTCCTCCACTTCTTCACCGTGACACAGGCATGCCGGAACACAGACACACACAACAACCAAATGTGATTTTTTTAAAAAAAAATCCAAGCTGGATGAGGCGGTACATGCCTTTAATCTCAGCATTTGGGAGGCAGAGACAGGCGAATCTCGGTGAGTCCCAGACCAGCTAGAATTACACAGTGAGACCCCCATCTCAAAAAACAAACAAGCAAACAAAACTCACCTCCACCACAAAAAAAAAACAAAAAAAAAAAAAAAAAGTGCAGAACCAGACATGGTAGTTCAAGCCTTCAATCCCAACACTCCCGAGGTAGAGGCAGGAGGATTGCCGCGAGTTCATGGCCTTCCTATTCTACATATTGAGTTCCAGGTCAGCCAGGACTACATAGTAAGAAATTTAAAATTTTTTAAATTGACATCTGAAGATCCAGTTTTGCAAAAAGAGCAGCTAGGATACAACTGAGGACGGAGAGCATGGATTGGAGCTGGGGCCAGCCTGAGGTCGGCATGAAGGTGGGGGAAGTTATGACTCTGGGTAGAGGTGAAGGCTCCTTTAGCTGGAGTCTGCAAGGGATGGGGCGGGAGGGGCGGTACTCGGCCTGTGTGCTTACACAGCACGTTGAGGCTGTAGAAGGAGCTCACGGTTTCACGAAGCGCAGCGCTGTGGGCTCGGCAGGTCACCCGGTGACCGTGGTCTCGGGATGACACCCGAAGGAAAACACTCCTGGATGCAGCGGAACCTTTGAACGGAGCGCTCTGGGGCGGGGCAGCCACGTCTTCCAACCTGTGCAAGTTTTGGAAGTCGGGTGAGGACCCGGCAGGGTCAGATGTGGGTACAAGGCCCTTGGCCAGTCGTTTAGGGCACAGAGGGGAGAGGTTGGGAGGGGGAGAGGAAGGAACCCGGATGGGGTGGGACCTCCCGTAAGCTCACCTCTCTCCCTCCTTGTCCCAAGACAAGTTAACTGGGGGATTGCTGCTGATGCTGACGCAGGTCAAGTTCAAGGAATCACCTGGGCGCAGCGCCGAAGAATTGGCCAGGATGGTCAGGTTGGTTGGGGGGACTTAATGGGTTAGAGATTCAGAGGTTGAGGAGCCTGGGCTGCAAGGTTGCGAGTCTATACCGCTCCCTCCGCAACATCTCCCCCCACTCCACCCCCATTCCCCGGCTTGTGCGCTCACACTGCACCTCCAGCTGCCTGGAAGCACTGAGCTGACCCGCCTTGCATGAGAACTTCGCTCGGTTGTCCGACGGTCCTACGACCAGCACCAGTTCGCGGGAGAAAGTGCTGCCCGACTTCTCCAGACTGCCCAACTGTACACGCCGGGGCTCCTGGGGCTGCCGAGGCTCGCTCACCGTGCGTGAGTCCTGAGGACCGAAAGAGCGTGGGTGGTTGCCAGCCCAGACAGGGCCATTGTGTGATAAAGACGCCTTCAAGAGCAGACACCCCATTATCTTAAAGGAGTGGGGACTGAAATTGAGCTCCCCCAGTTCTAGACTCTCTCGCCTGTCTTGACTGTTTGGGGACCCTGATCCCTATTGTGCACCCCTCTACCCTCCCCCGACCTCACCAGCCCACTCCCTGCTGCAGGCTCCACACCCCCAAACCCATTACTGTGATATTTACAGAACACTGTGTTCCAGGAAACTCCCTTGAAATTCCCAGACCGGGCGTAGGAGTCTTTCACTTTTCTTTGCCTCTGTTGTTTTTGCCTGGCTTTACATGAGACAGGATCCCTTGTAGCCAAGGATGACCTCGAAGTGAGTCCTCTAGGTAGCTGAGGATGTGTTTGTACTCCTGGTCCTCCTGCCTTCACTCCCAAAAAGCTAGGATTACCGGTGAGCCACCTCACTCTGCCGGTTGGTTTTTTTTTTCTTTTTTAATTTCCACTCTTGGGCTGCAGAGATGGCCTAGCAGTTAAGAACACTGACTGCTCTTCCAGAGGACCTGGGTTCAACTCCCAGCATCCACATAGCGGCTCACAGCTGTCTGTAACTCCAGTTCCTGGGAATCTGATGCCCTCTTCTGTCCTCAAGGGTGCCAGGCATGAATGTGGTTTGCAGACACATATGCAGGCAAAACATCCATAAAAAGTAATAAAACTTCAAAATTTCAGAAACTTTCCACTCTCCCCCAAAATTTCTCTGACCTTCTCCCTAATTTCCAATATTACCCCTTAGGTCCCCTGCCTTTGTCTCTCTCCTCGCTCTCTCCCTTCCCTTCGTTCTTCTTTATTTTTTATATTAATTTTAATATGAATGAATTTTCTTTAATATGAATGACACTATAATTGTTTTATCTCTAAAATTTTCTATCTTAATCCAAAGTTTCTTCTTTTATCTTGGAATCGTCTTTCCAGATTTTCCAGAATTTCCCTGGACTTCATTAATTCTCATGACATTTGTGTCTTTTCATAGTCTCTAGCATTTCCCCCAGATTATGGGTTTCTCCATGTGTTGAGGGTATGAAGGGGATAAGGGGACGATATACTCAAAGCTAGGCAGGGTTGGTGGCACATACCTCTAATACAGGCAGAGGCAGGCGGATCTCTGAGTTTGAGGCGAGCCTGGTCTACAGAGTGAGTTCTAAGCCAGCCAGGGCTGTATAACAAGGCCCTGTCTTGAGCAAAAAAGCAAAGTTCAAGGCTAACCTGGACTATATATCTTGTCTTAGGAAAGAAAATAGGGCCTAAGATGGCCTAGTCAGTAACATGTGTGTGTGCTTGCTCTTGCACACACTTGCACACACACACACTTACACATACATATGAACAGATACATAGGAAAAAGGAAGCCAGGAAGGGAGGAAGGAAGGGAGGGACTCTTGCTCAATACCTACCTTAAACCAGGTGAGGGAGGGGTCTGGATTGCCTCCGATGGCCAAACACACCAGCCTCACCCGAGTCCCAGTACGAATGTACTGCCCCTCTTGGGGTCCCTCAATCCACAGCTTCTGGGCAGGGTCTAGTGAGAGACAGGGAAAGAGAAGACATTTTTGTCTGAAGTGGAGCCTCAGGGTGAGGGTTGTGACACCTGAGGATTCTCTGGGCTCTAGGCTAGAGCGCACATTTCACATTCAAGATGAGTGATTTCTTGAAGGTCTCCTTGCTGAAGGCATCGCTGAAGGCCTCACAGGTGAGGGACAAGCCATTGTCTTCCCTCCGCACCAAGAGTGTCAGATTGGACATAGAGATGTGGCCACCATGCAGGCCCTGGCAGGAGGGAACTTCAGATTTGGGAACTGCGAAGCCCCCAGCCGTGGTAGCAGAGGACTGAGTCCACCAGACCCCAGCAGGGGCACATGCGGCAATTCCACCTTCTTCCATCAGACCCAGGAGTTGGACCCTCAGTCTAGGCTCCTTAGGGTCCAGGGCCTCAAGGGACTACCAAACCATCGTCTCCCACATGCTCACATCCATGACTGTCTCATCCGTGGGCAGCAGCTGTCTCCCACCCAGCCACCATCGCAGTAGGACCCGGGGGCGACTGGACTTCGTAAGGCAGCAAAGGGTCACGTTCTTGTTCTCAGACTGGGATGCCGATCCCAGGATGGTGACGGCACTGGGGGGAACTGAATGGCAGATGCATCAACCTAAGATGGGATTCCAGGCTGGGGTCTTCACAGACCAGCCCAGGCAGATGGGGGCAGGGGACCGACAGTGAGGTCTTCAGCATCAGACAGGCCTGACGTGAAGGCACAGAGGTCTCTCTGGCTGTGGACTCACAGGTGACCTGCAGTGTGATGCTTCGCTCCTGGGTCCCTGTAGATACGCTGTTGTAGGACAGACAGCTGAGCCGGGCTCCATGGTCTTCCGGTCGCACAGCCATCACCAACACACTGCGGGCCACTGCCTGAGCATGCTCTGTGCCCCAAGCTATGGACACTGGTTTATCATTCTGGACACAGAAGCCAATCTAATTATCTCAGCACTAGCTCCTGGTCCCTGTCCTTCCCCTCAACCCCCCATGTCAGCTTCCATCCTCACCTTCAGCCACTGCAGGGTAGCAGGTGGATTTCCACCTCGGGCCATGCAGGGCAGCTCCAGGTTCTGCCCTGCCCGTACGTGCCCCTCATCCAAGCCTGGCCAGTCAATGACAGGAGGTCCTGGGGGGACTGGAGAGCAGGGACCTCTCAGTGGGCTGGGAGGCCCATCTATTCTCTCTGGGCCCCCAAACCTGCTTTCAGTTTCCTCCGGTGAGTGAGGGAGATGGCTCAGGAGGTAAGGGTACTTGCCAAGGAGCCCAAGAACCTGACTTCAATTCCTGGAACCTACATGGTAGAAGGAGAGGACTAACTCCTGAGAGATGTTCTCTGACTTCTTCACTTGGCATGTCCATGCATGCACATGCACACACAGACACAATAACAACAACCACAACCACCACCACCATAATAATAAAATGATTATAATATAATAAAAATAAAAATCTTAAATTTCTCCCAAATGCCTGCTTTTTGTTTTCAGGGCTGGGTCTGAAATCTGGGTCATTGCACATCTGGGACTGGGCTGTCTTGCTGGGCTTCAATGCCCCGCCCTCAACAGCCCAGGCTAGCCTTACCTTCTTTCTGCTTCCACCCCTCCAAGGCTGGGATTCTAAGCACACTGCAACAGCATGGCTGGTGATAATGCTTGAAATTTCTGCCATTCTTAAATCTCCTGTGCTCCCAAATCCTGCTGGGATGCCCATCCTCCATGCCCACAACTATCCATACCCTCACTTACACAGAATATTCATAGTGAATGAAGCCTTGATGGGAACGTCCAAAGCTGGGCTGGACCCCTCACAGAATAGTAACTGCCCATTATCTGAGCTCTGGGGTGTCACCCTGGAAAACAGAGATTTCTGCATCAGTCATCACCTGAAATTTAAGGAGCCAGGATAAAGAGGAGAGCATCCCAAACTCCCACACTCGGCCAAGTTTCCATACTGATTTATTCTAAGAGCTGAACTCCCCTGGGAGAGATGTGGTGGTTCAACAAGGAGAATACGGGTGCCCAAGGTCTTCACCTGAACTAAATATTTTTATTCAACATCTACAAACTGGGGTTACCATCAAGAAGCTTTGAGAGTCAGGGTGAAGAGTCAGGTCCCAGGTATTCCCACAACTAAAGTTTCCAAACTTGCATTATTAGTTTCTGGAACTCATGTGGGACAACCTGGAGATTGGGGGACAGGGAGGAAACCCCAGCTTGCACACCTGGCTTCAGCTTCTGTGATGTAGAGCTTCTCCTCAGATCCATCGTTCACATTATAGGAGACGTCCAGTACTGTGTGTCCACCTTGGGACAATGAGAAAGCTGAGTAGAGAGATGCTGGGGTTTTCTCCATGCCCTGGAAGTGCTCAGGGTGGACATGGCTCTCCCTTAATATTGGCTCTGAAGGACAAGAAGCTGGGGTGCCAGTTCTGTCCTCCCACACACTCAGGACCCCCTGAATTCTGGGGTTCTTAGGACTTCATCAGGGGCCTCTCTTTCTCCTCACCGCCCCCCATCAGCATCTTCTTATTGCTGCATAGCCATTGGCACCCCTAGGTCCCCTGAGTGCTCACACCTTCTCCCTACCCCAGACCAGCAGCCTTGCATTCTCCTGGAAAGCATTCCTTTCTCATCTGTGTTGGCCTCATTTCATTGGGGTGATACTCAGTGGTGACATATTTTGGGGGACCCTAGGCAGGAACACCCCTTCCAATTTCAGCGACGTTTCTGCCGTTCCACACTCACTCTGGATGAAGGTGATGTCCGGTGCTGGTTTGGCATCTCCAGACACACAGGTGACCACATACTCCTGCCCAGCCACCCAGGTAACTGTGCTTCCTGCCTCGGGGGTCAGCTGGAGCACCTTAGGGGGAACTAGTGAGAAAGGGCGTGGGGTTAGCCACTACTGCGAGGTGGATGTGGCGATTTTGGCCAAGAGTTCAAGAGATGAGACTGTACCCAGGGCCCAAAGTGGAGAGGCTTAGGAGATTGGACCTCTGGGTCTGAGGAAAGAAGGGGGCTGGAGCCCAGGTTGGTGGGTCCCGGGGGCGGGGGAGGAAGGAGTCTCTCACCCATACCTAGGATGGAGAGGATTACTTTGGGAGACACGAGTTCGGGACCCATCTCTGAGCGGCCGACTTGGCATTCGTACAGTGCATCGTCACTGAGATCACAGGTTTCGATTCGCAGGTGGAATTCACCTGGAGATGGAGCGCTCACGGTCAGGGCCCCAGGCTCTGCTAGTGGCTCAAGATGTCAGGCTCTGGTCTCTCACCTTTAGCAGGATCTCCTTCCAGGCTGTACCTTGGGAAGCCTGGGATCCTGGGGTTTGGACCCAGAAGTAACCCATCCTTAGCCCACTGCACCACACTGCCAGGGGCTCTGACCCCACACCGCAGCTTAACTGTGGCCCCTTCCACTGCAGTCAGGTTTTCAGACAGAGTCCAAAAGCCCCGAGAAACCGAGGTGGGGACTGGTGACTGGGCCAGGCCTGGGGACACAAGGGGATTGATAATAAGAGACAGAGGTGGCACTTGAGGGCCCATGGGCTACAAGTCCAGCCTTTGTACTCACCTGTGGTCAGCATTCCCATGAGCAGCAAGGGAGTCAAGCTGGAAGTCCTGTGTATTGTGGTCACCCCAGGGCCACTGAGGGCAACTTCCTTAGTGCCCAT